TACTTCCAGTGCTAAAGACAACTACTATAAATCTGAATACACTGAATGCAGGTTAGATGTGACGTTTCAGTTAGTGAGTGTGTTTAGTTTAAATCATAAACACTTGTACCAAGCTGCCACCCATATTTCATTATTTTGTATATAATGTCCAAGTAAGTTGCTAGATTCCAGCTGAAAAGCACTGTAAAACATAATATGAAGTCCATAAAGAAGGAAGACCAAGTGAGGGTGATTCGGTCCTTCTTAGAAGGAGCAACAAAATACTCAAGGGAGCAAATATGGAGACAAAGTGAGGGACAGAAACTGAAGGAGGGGCCGTCTCAAGACCACCCCACCTGAGTATCTATCCCATGTGCAATCACCAAAGGTAGATGCTGATGTGGAAGACAGGAAGTGCATGCTGATAAGAGCCTGATATGGATATCTCCTCAGAGGCCTTCAAGAGTCAGACATATTCAGAGGCAGATGCTCACAACTAGCCATTGAACTGATCATGGGGTTCTCATTAGAGGAGTTAGAGTGAAGACTGAAGGAGCTGAAAGGGTTTGTGGCACCATGAGGAGAGCAACAATACCAACCAACCACAGCTCCCAGGGTCTAAACCACCAGCCTGGGAGCACTTAGGGGGGGATCCAGGGCTTCAGCTGAATATGTAAAAGTGGAGGGCCCTGCTGGGCATAGGTGGAAGAAGAGAACCTTGACCTCATGAAGGCTGGATGCCCCAGGGGGTGGGAATTTTGAGGGTGGGGAGGTGGGAGTGGGGGGGTGTAGATAGAGGTTACATCCACAGAGAAGAAGGAGGAGGGGCGAGGGGATTGGGGGTTCCGAGGGGGTGGTGGGGGATGGGGTAAGGGGACAACATAGGAAATGTAAATAAATCATCCAATAAAAAAAAAAAAGAAAAAAAAAAGAAAAAAAAGAAAAAAAAATCATTCAATTTAATGTCTGTTATAAAACCTAAAAATGAAAGCAAGTCATGTTATCACATAGAGCCCTAATTTCATTTCTGTATTTGACTGTATCAACAAATAACAATAGAGAAAATTTCATATGTCCTTTGGCACTTGAGAGAAAATGGTATATTATTAACTAACACAAATATTTTGCCATGTTGAAGACACAGGTAGTAGGCTGAGATCTAATTCTATGATCAGACAGACATAGACCACATTAAAATAATGTTACTTTCCTTAAATCAGCCCAGAATGTTACTGACAAGGATCAATGCATGTCTAGATACAGTTCAGAGAAGAAGTGCCTATTGCAGTGTATTTCACATGGAACTAGTCAGTGAGGATACCTAGGGAACAGTTTAGCCACTATTTTCCTCTATACACCTTATACCTTGGATGCTACACAAAAAGTCACAGTGAGTCAAGTATTTTATTTCTGAAACCATTAGCTATTTTGTATTAAAGGCAAAAAGAAAAAAAAACAGAACCCAAAAATTATTCCTCATAAGTACTTCACCTTTTGAAATTAAGCACTCAACATTTTATTCTATCGACCAATACAAATTAGTCTAACAAACAGGATGAAACTTGTTCTTAGGGAAATTAGCTAGGTGATTCATTGGACTGTTATCACTTTACAAAGACTGAAATTAAACTGATGAGGGTTAAATCAAGTGCACTTAAATGGCCCAAAACACAGGCTGTAATTCATCCACACTTTCCTTTACATGCTGATCTTGCTAAGGATGATCAAGCAGGAGGTCTGAGGGTGAAAACTTCAGAATCGGGACTGTTTAAACTTGTACAATACAAAGCAGAGAAGAGCCACAGAAGTGGAAAACCCAGTGATCTTGAGCAGACCAGGTACGGAAGGCAGGTTCCTCTCTAAGAAGGTGGAGGTAATTTCAAGGGCTGGAACATCCTAAATAGATGAACATAGATCATTAATAGAAATTCTTGCTATAGCTAGAAGAAACAAAGCCTATCTGTAGTAGTATGTATTTCTATCCCAAGACAGTTGCAACTATAGTAAAAGCAGAGGCTGAATGAAGGGCAGTGCAATTTTTATGTGCTGTAGTTGATGATAGAGATGGAGTATGTGCTGTAGTCCATCTATAGAGATGGAGTATGTGCTGTAGTCCATCTATAGAGATGGAGTATGTGCTGTAGTCCATCTATAGAGATGGAGTATGTGCTGTAGTCCATCTATAGAGATGGAGTACCCAAACTTACCTTGGACTCAGGCTCTTGAACCCATATATCCTTCTTGGCAACTTTTCCTAGAGCATTCAAGACCTGAAAGAAAAGTGACGACAGCATAGTGACGACAGCATTATACTGTGACATTATATACTTTTGACAGATTCAAAATCATATTAAACATTGATGAACCCACAGGTGGGTGACAGAGAAATGCATACATAGACTATCAATGTCAAGAATTAGATGCATGGATGAATAAAGTAAATTTGTTATTCACATATAATGGAACATTATTCAGCTTTAAATAAGAATGAAATCCTGTCAATGTGACAACATGGACGACTTTAGAGGACAACACAACCATAAATGAAATCTGCCATAGAAATTGCCTAGAAAGACAAATAATACATGCTATCCATTATATGCAGAAGGAAAATAAGTAAATCCTATAGGAGTAGGAAAGAACAGAGGGTACCAGAAGCTAAGCAAGGTAACAGGGAGTAAAGCTATTGAGACTGGATTATAAATACCACAATATAATTCATTTGGAGGAATAAATTCTAACACTTTATAGCAATATAGGGTCACTGAAGATAATCACAATTTACTATGTAATTCCAAAGAGCTAGAAGAAAGGATTTGAATATTTCAAAGAAATAATACAGGTCTGATGTGAAGGAGATGCTAATTATCTTGATTTGATCATTGTATATTATACACAGGCACCAAAATATTTGTGTAGTCCACAAATGTGCACAATTGTGCCAATGAAAAAGCCCAAATATCCAGTTTCTTTCTATATATCCATATAAAGATAAAATGAAGAACCAGAAAGATCAGATGACAAAAATGCTTCCACAGGGCTGGAGCTATAGCTCACTGAAATAACCCACCCATGCCTATCATGCATGATGCCTTCTGTTCAATTCCCAGCACTGCTGCCCATGATGAAATTACAACTGAAAAGGGAGTACACATTAGACTCCCTCCTTACCTCTCTAGCTGCCCGTTCTCCAGCTTCAACTGCTCCTTCCATGTAGCCACTCCACTGTGTTGCTGTCTCTGTGCCTGCAAAGTAAATCCTGCCTACTGGCTGGCGAATCACCCTTGAAGGAAAAGAAGAGGTCACACAGTTACATGGGAAGGTGCTGAGGGGAAACTAGCCAATCACTCTCTACCTTCATCTACTCCACAAAAGGAAGGGAAACTAATCAAAGAGGAAATGCCAGTGTGTCTCATCCCAAAGTAAAATGCAGTTCTTTGTTTCCTGGACCATGCACAAGGATCTGAACCTGGGGGAAGCAGACTAAGTTTATTCACCAGTAAAGAGGATGCTGACCTATTTTCTGCCAGCAAGTCAGCCTGTGAGAACATGAATTCAACATCTCAGTTATATTTCCTATTTGTAGGCCATTTTATTCATCATATCAGCTTCTATTCAAGATAATACACACACATCCACAGATTCGGGCTATGAAGCATTTTTCAGGACATCAAAAAAGACTGTAATGGCAAGGGGGAAGATACAGAAACTGTCATTTCTGGCAGAAGAGAGACCCCAGGAAGTCTATGAGTAAGTAGTCCTGAAATAATATAATCTGTAATTTTCTCTGAAAATTTATGGAAATAGCTAAGCGTGAGCAAATAGGTTCTTCCTATAAGACAATTCTGATATATAGTGCCTAGGAAGGGATAGACTCAATGGGCAACTCTCTACCCCAACCTGCTTGGTGTTATCTACTCCATGCCTGAGCCATTTCTGTGGCTCCCCCCAACTGTACATTGCAGCCAAAAGCCTTCATCTCAACCCATTGGCATTCCTTTTTCCAATTCAAGAATCTTGTGCCTAATTTCCCATTGATTCTATTTATATTATCTAGACCTGTACTGAGACTCTAGAAATAGGTCCATTGTTCAATCTTATTATTACTAACAATAGCTGTTTGACTCTCTTAAGGAAGCAAAAGGTAAACAACAAGCTTTTCAAACTACAGGTAAACAAATCCTGCTTCTTTCTCTATGGATAGATGTAACCCAACACTAACATTCTAGATTTGGTCCTCTAGAAACTTGACAAAGGTGTGATGTGACCAGATACTACACTATTTGGTGAACAAGTCACTTCTTCCCAACCCCACAGTAGTAACTATATCCAGATGGGGAGAATTATGAAGGGACTGTAAATGCCTGGTAGAATGCTATCATTTTAAGCTTCTTCCTGTATTCTATCACTTGAAACTGAGCAAGTGGGATACTAGATCCTATGCCTATAGAGCAAAGAAGTAACGTATGTGAAACAAGGTGTTTCTAAGTAGAGGTAGACTCCCAGGCCACGTAGATCTCATCTCCTGCAACCTCAGCTGTATACACTGAGAATTCTTTGCTATGAAGAGGAATATCTGATGCTCCTCTGTTGACAACACATATGTATTGGACACATGCAGCCAGTGTCCTTCTGTGTATACTAGTACCAGAGTATAGGGTAGCCCTGTAAGACTAAATGTTGAGTGAAGCTCAAAAGGCTTCCTGAGACAATGTAGTTGTCCTCATCTCATAAGTGTGCTGACAATTGCAGTTCTACCTAGTACACTGCTACTGCTCTTTGTGTTGACATCCATTTTACTGGGGACATCTACCAAGTTACAAGCTGACTATTTTTCTGGGATTACAATGAATAACACTGCCTATTTCCACAGTCTTATTCAATGTAGATTGTCTAAATGTGTGCCAGCCCTGGATGAGTTGGTGTAGTGATTAAGTAGTACCTTCCATACTGGGTCATGATACCAGGAGGGAAGTAGGCTGTGTAGCAGCCCCCGGAATACTGCTCCTCACACCAGTTCTTCTCTTCATAATGGACTGGCTGTAGTTCAATGGTGAGGGAATTCCAAAAGAAAATAAAAATGGAACTGTTACCAGCTAACAGTGAAGGTTCGTATATATTTTATTAACAAAAAGCTTCTATTTAAAGCATAAAGTGGGGATGGAACTCAGTGGTACACATGTGCCAGGCTCTGAGTCTGAGCTCCATTACATCAAAAATAAATAAGAAATGAAGAAAGGAAAGGAAAAGAGGGAGGAGTAGGAGGGAGTGAGAGGGAAAGAAAGCAGTCTGAAGATGAAGCTGTGTGGTAGAGCACTTTCCTAGCATGCCCAGGGCCCCAAACTTTGATCCCTGATATTGTAAGAAAGAAAAGAGTACATTGTACAATAAAGACACTGAAGATGCTGATTTTTTTTCAACCTTTTTCTTAAGGGAGTCAAGAAATATACCAATACTTGGGAGAGAGGATACTCTCATTCATACAGATTCTAAAGATTAGAGCTAAATCTTTGGGAAACCCTACTGACAATTAGTTTTTAGAAAGTTTTTCTCCAACTCTGGTGTGTCTAAGACAATGGACTGTTTTTCAATTTACACAGGGATTACTGACAAGGGTAGGGTGAGGGGAACAAGAAGAGAAGCACAGAGCATATTTACAAATATTTTCCTTAAACAGAAAAACTACATAATAAAAATACTCCTTAAAGGAAACAATTAAGATGAAAGTGGTCACTGGTGAACATGAGAGTCTTCCAAGACTTCCCTACCACATTCTAAATGTTTATTATTAGCACAGTTCAAACAATAGTCCACAGAAAAAGTCCTCAGCGATTGGTGGGCTCTTCGGAAACATTTGTTCTCACTGCTTTCAGAATCAGTGTAAAAATCCTGATAGTACCAAATGAGACATGAATTGAGTCTCCTTGTGGGAAAATAAACTAGTATGCCTTTAACCTGGACAAAGATTAAGTCTGGTGTGTCAAATATATATCATGATGCCTTCAGCAATGCAGGATGACATACCTGGGGTTTTGTTTTATAGCAGTCACTTGATAATGTCAAAAGCACAGGATCTCTGTCCTGCAGACCAATATCAGTGACCCATGATATAATGATTGTGGCTCCAAGTCGCTTACTACAGTTGAATGCCTATTATCTAGTGAGCATTTAAAAAGCCCAAAGTAATACCATATCACAAGTTCCACGTAAAGAACACTAGTTTTTAATGCCTTTGGGTTGCTGAAAGTAATCCTCTAAATAAGCACACTCCTTTCTATTCTCTGCTTAAGACTTCCAAGGAACCAGAACTTGCTTTAATTTACCAATTTAAGACAATAGAACAAAGCCTGTTAGAGACTGAGAGTTCTTACATATAAAGCTTCTTCAGATCCCAGAACTTTGGCATACAGCTCACAGATTTTCTTCTTCCTACAGAGAAGAATAAAAACATGTTAAAGAAGTCATAATTGATGGACATATAATAAAGGCATTCTGTTCTAGGGTACTTGAAAAGGAAATTCAATGGCCTTCTATAACTATAAAACAAATAGTCAATAAATCTCTAGAGTCATCTTATATGATTAGTGGATTTCTGCATGCTGATTAACATTATATGCCTCAACATGGTAATTTGATGAGGAATCAACAGAATTTCTGTTTTTAAAATAGACAAGGTCTCACTATGTATAGCCTGGAACTGCTATACAGATGACAGTGGTTTCAAACTTATGATTTCCTTGCCTCAACCTCCTGAGCACTGGGATTATATATATTTTACCATGCCTGGCTAATCTCTTCTTGGAAGAAAATATATGTTAAACTCACAACTATTCCTGGTGAAAAATTTAAAATACCTATCTTCTAAATTAATGGGCCTATCTCAATTATTGAATATATATGATTTACATTTACTCTTTCCAGTTTTTATGTAGATTAAACACGTGAAAATGGCTCTGAAATATTTGGTAAAGGCTAATGAGCAGTCAAAGCAATTTTTATGAAAAAGAGGTAAAAGATGTAATTCAAATTCATAAAACGAGCATTCAGACCAGATGAGACAAATAGTTAAAAGTATACATGTGTGAGTGTACTTGTAGATACAACAATCAAGCTTAGTAATAATAGAAGATATAAAAATATAGAAGTTTTATATCGTAAATTTCACCAGAAAACATTTTTAAAACATAAGCCTATTTTCTCTAAATAATGAAGAAAATGTAAGCTTATCACTCTTGCTATTGTCATGCATACACTTTTGCTATAACTCTTAGAACTATCACATAAGTACAAAAAGTTCCGTCAAGAAGTGAGATTATAAATGTTACCTATTGGTATTCAAGGCTTTAAAGGAGACAATTGTCACTCATGAATGACATCATATAATATAAAATGGATTATATTAATTCTAGGACAGTTAGAAAATTCTTGATTAAAACCTCTAACACACAGGAAGAAGTCTCAGGACTACTGCTTACTTGCTTTCTCTGTCTAATCTAAACTCTCCATTGAAAAGTTGAAGCTAAAAAAAAAAAAAAAGCCGGGCGGTGGTGGCACACACACGCCTTTGATCCCAGCACTTGGGAGGCAGAGACAGGTGGATTTCTGAGTTCGAGGCCAGCCTGGTCTACAGAGTGAGTTCCAGGACAGCCAGGGCTACACAGAGAAACCCTGTCTTGAAAAAAAAAAAACCAAAAAACAAAAAAAAAAGAAAGACAAGTTGAAGCCAAAGCTCAGTGAACTGCACATTCCTTCTCTATCATTCAGTTAAGTAATGGGAAGGCAAACTTTTACTCTGTTGAGCATTTTGTCTATAGTAGATGCTCAATATGTGTTGAGTCAAATTTTATGCTCAGTCTAGTATGACATTCTCTTTCTACGCCACAAAAAGATGGCAGATTATTGCGTTACAAACGATTCTAAGCAGTAATTCAGTCAAGACTGAATATTGTAGTTAGTTAAGAATATTGCCAAGACAAGTAAGAATATTTCTGTAGTGGCTAGTTCTGTGTCAACTTGACACAAGCTGGAGTTATCACCAGAAAGGAGCCTCCCTTGAGGAAATACCTCCATAAGAATCACCTATAAGGCATTTTCTCAATGAGTGATCAATAGGAAAGGACCCAGCCCATGGTGGGTGGTGTCATTCCTGGGCTGGTGGTCCAGGGTTCTATAAGAAAGCAAGCTGAGCAAGCCATGGGGAGCAAGCCAGTAAGCAGCACCCCTCAATGGCCTCTGTATCAGCTCCTGCCTCCAGGGTCCTACCTTACTTGAGTTCCTGTCTTGGCTTCCTTTAATGATGAACAGTGTTATGGAGTGTATGCCAAATAAACCCTTTTCTCCCCAGTTGCTTTTTGGTCATGGTGTCTTGTCATAGCAATAAATATGCTAAGATAAATGCTAATCAGTATTCTACAATGCTTAATGTATTTAACTTATTTTCTGGACATATAATAAAATCTTTACTAAAGTAGAGCTAAACTTAAAAATTAAACTTCATTGTACTTTCACTTTTAATCATAAATAATAAAAACATAATGAATACGTGATTTTTTGCATTTCATATTATTAAATGAACCAAAGACAAATTTTCACAAGTATGCCAGAAAACTATCTTTCCATTCCCTTTCCTTCATTAAAATTAAAACTTTTAGAGGATATATAGAAGGCAATGATGTTATACTAAAAAAATTAAAAACTTTTTTGTATGAGTGACAGGGATGGAACATTGCACTTCACATATGTAATACATGTGCTTTACCACTGAGCTATATTCTCCACTCAGAACAATGCATTTAGATTACTTTGGTTCAAAAATTAATAGAATATATTTAAAATTATAGTCTAAATGGGTACCATGCAAACTATCTTATAGTATCTCTTTTATAGATACAATATATAAATCTGTCCATTCATCATAATCACCTGAGCAGATGGTCAAAAGTATAAATCCTCAGTCTCTACTTCAGACCTACTGAGTCATATTCTATAAGCCTCAAGAAAATAGACTTTCCAAATACCTTTAGGGACAGTTAGACACAGTCAGTTTTGAAAACCACTAGTCTTATAATTGATATTTTCAGTAAAGGTTTTGTCTTACAAGAACTTTAGAGTTCAGCCAGTGTGTGGAGTCATAATCAAATGTCCACCTCCAGTCTGCTATTTATTTTATTATTAATAGAAAGGAAAGGCAGAAAATCCAAAAGAAAATGTCAGGCTTAGTGTGGTATAATGAAAAAAGAAAAGAAGGATGTGTTATCTGCTACTCTTGACTTTGCCACAGTCATATGTCAGCAACTATGATATGAATGTATGTGACCCTCCCAAATTCCCATGTGAGGGTTAGGTTCAGTGGTAAGGTACTTACCTGAGGACTTGAATTCAACTCCTGAAACCCATTTCAAGGTAGACGAAAACTGATGACACAAAACTGTTGTCCATTCTCTATTCATGTATTATGGTGTGCATAAGCCTACACACACACACACACACCATGTTTTTTCCTTATTAGAACTTTATCACCACGGTGATCGTATTGGTGAAGTAAGTGTTCAGAGAGAGAAGTGTGAGGTGCTTAAGAAAAGTGATTAAGCCCCAGGGGCTCTATATAGCTAAGTATTCTAGGAAAATCCTAGCTCTTAACCACATAAAATAAACACAAATATGTAAAACTAAATTAATATATGTATATAGACATTGACTTGACGAAGAAGAATATCACAAAATATTTTTTAAAAAAATTTGTCTTTTAAGGATAAGAATACTTGTAAAATATTACTATTGTTGGTGCAACAAACAGAATGCATAGGTAACCATTATTGATTTTCAGGTATAAATGGTTTACCTTAAGTCTTTATGTAGTTTAGCAAGTCGATCAGCTTTCCGGGCAAGTATGAAGCTGGAGAAGGAAGTCACATTTGAATGGTCAGTTATAGTCATGCTAAATGTACATTACCACCTATTTAGCATTAATGAATTCTCTCAGCCCTTCCCTTTTCCTAGGGCAAATGTAATCCTATCTTTGGCTCTCTCTGCTTTCAAAACTCTGTAGCCTAAATAACAGATAACCAACCTCTTGATCAATATTTTGCTTCTAAAAATTAACACCATATTTGATATTATAGAAAATTAAATGCTGTACATATTGAGACTATATTAGATGACTATCCCAGCAATGACAGTCAATAAAAACTGGACAACTATTAATACATGCCTATCATAGATACCATGGTACTTCTCTCACTCTATACCAAATGCACTTTAGAACCAGTAATTGGTACCCTTATCTCACAGATAAAACCTTCTCTGGGCAATTATACTCAGCAGCAGATATGTCCCTCTGTCAATACCCTGCCTCTCCTAACAGGCAATTGACACTTGGTGATTGAGGTACCCATTCCCTTGTCTCAGTTTGACTGTGAAGGACCATTCCAGCTTCCAGATTTCCATGAGCTGGCTGAGTACTGACATACAATTCTCCAACTGGTCCCTCCCACAAAGGCAGTAATCCCTAAATTTCACCCTAATAAACCTCTTGTACCCGTGTCTCTATCTCTAACTCAGCTTCCTTGGTAACTAACTAAATACTGCCCTCCAATAAAGTAACTTAGTAAAACTCAACTATAATCTATCTGCTCACTTTAATCAAAAAGATTCTGTTTATTGTGTTACTAATATTAACAGCAATTACATTTTAAAGAATTGGATTGTGAGATGAAATCCTTACTTATACTATTAATAGAAACAGAAATCCTACAAAAATTCATGGGATGAGTAGAGACATAACTCAATAGTAAAGCACTTGATTAGTGTTATGCTGAAAGCTCTAAATTCATTCTCTAATATCCACTCTTAATCCAAATGAACTAAAATGTGATGAAACTACTTCCTCATTAAAATGGTTAAAAATGATATTTATTTTGTTCTAGAGAGATCAGATAGACAGATAGATCAAGGCTTAAAGGGGGTATTTCTTTTTTCCTCAGCTCTGAATTAAAGTGTTCCTCAATTATCACCAGAAACTCCTTTAGGACTGCTATTAGAGAATGTTTTGAGAAGCAAAGATGGAAAGTATGTTAACACAGGGTGGGATTTCACAGACAGTTGCATATTATCTAAGGGACAGCAGGAGGGGTGCTGGGGGATGGAAATGAACAATGGAAGAGGAATATTTGCAAAACAAAGTGTGGATGGAGTTCCACAATAAAATCCATCATTTGTGTCTTAATATTTAAAATGGAATGAATTAAAAACTGAAATGTGAACTATTCAACCTTATGGGATAAAATTATTATTTTGCTTGAATTAGCACTTTCAATGATGACTCAAAGTTCATGGTTTTTGGTTAAATTTTAAGCTTATGCAACAATCTGTAAGTTCAGACTTACAGATATTTTTTAAAAGTTACCCAGAGCTGATAAAAAATTAAATTATTAGTCAGCTGATTTTGTATGGCTTTGACCTCAAATTTCTGTCAAATCTCAAGTTAGGAATATAATAATCACTTAAACTGTAGACAAACATTGTTCAATTTTATTTAACCATTTACTGGGGAAATCAAACATGCTGGCGTTGTACTGGAAGTATTTGATAGTTCTAATGTATAGTTTCTAAAAGGTGATGGTTATTATAAACACAATGTTGGTTAATTATCACCTCTGGTTTTGAGGCTCTTACAGTCAAATGCAAAGAACAAAGTGGAGGTGATATATCTATCTTCGAGGTTTTCATTATTCATTATTCAAAGCACAAAGTCTGATGTAGTGGTATATACCTGTAATCCTAGCATTTAGGTGATGGAAACAACAGAATCAGGAGTTAATAGCTAGCTAGTCTCAGCTATATAGCATGTTCATCTCCAATCTAGCTACATGAGAACCTGCCGAGAGAAAGAAAGAAAGAAAGAAAGAAAGAAAGAAAGAAAGGAAGGAAGGAAGGAAGAAAAGAGAGAGAGAGAGAGAGAGAGAGAGAGAGAGAGAGAGAGAGAGAGAGAGAGAGAGAGAGAAAGGGAAAAAAGAAAGAAAAGAAGGGAGAGAGGGAAGCAGAGAAGAAGAGAAGGCACGGGAAAGAAAGCTCTCTAGTTGGGCCTGCTAGTACAGTCCTGGAATTGCAGCTTCTCAGGAATCTGAAGCAGTATAGTTTAAAGCCAATTTTGTTACTAACTTACTGAGACTCTATATTAAAGTTGCACATAAAAAACACAGTAGACATTTGCCTAGCATATAGCAGGCCCTAGGCTCAATACCAGTGTTGTACACACACACAAAAAGGGAGAGTGGAGGGTACTGCCCTAATACAACAACAGTAGTAAAACAAAAATTAATTCTTTTCAACCCCTCAATCCTCAAATAGTTACACTAATAATAACAAATGAGATTTACAAAGCAAGACTATCGATGTGCTTCCATCTCTAACTGAACTGTTATAATATTCTGAAACTTACATTCTGATCTGCTTTTGTTGGCCCACAGCAATCTGTCAATTTGGCTAAAGTACCTGGATCTTGTCTTACTCAGTGAGACTAAGGATGAAGAGGATACATCCAGGATACACGGTCATTATATTTTAAGTCCCCGCCTGCCTCAGGAATTTAGTGCTTTTTCTTACATTATAAGCCAGAGAAGTGGTTTTAAAACATTTTATCGGCATCCCAGGCAGAGCCAGCTTCCTAAGTTCCTTGGCACATGGGTCTGCCCCTTTTCTCTGTAACTTTCCAAAAATGGCATGATGTGATGTTTTATTGAGCTTACCTATCTCATCAGGAAGCAGGCCTACATTTCCCAGAAAGCAAAAGCAGAAACCACTGGTCCCTAAAAGTTCCTTGACTGCTATTAACATGTGTTCTTTTGTAATAGTGCAATACAATAAAAAGGCTTTTTGTGTGTATAGGATTTTTTATAAGGACAAAAGTAGGCAACTAGGAAAGTGTGTCCCTCCTTAGCATTTCGTTTGTGAGGGCCCATTTCCTTTTCTGGAGTACTAGTTCCCAGTAGGCTGTTGGTACTATCTATGCACTTATAAAGATAAAAGAGGTGTTGCTGGTAAACAATAACCATAGGCTATTTATGCCCTGCCTCATCTTATATTGGCACTATTACTTGTTATCTTGACACTAATATTTGCTATGCAACAAGTATTTGGAAAGCAGATTACTCCCAGAGACACCGTATTTAGATTTTACAGAGTGAAGTGCTTCTTTTTCCAGAATGACTGTAGACATCCTGCCTGTAGGCAACACTATCATACTGTCCATCCGTTTGTCTGACTGTCCATCTGTCAGACTGTCTAGCTGCTTGATCCACTCTAATCCTCAGCATGTAAGTTTTATAGAAGAAAGAAATACATAGCTTGACAAAAGTTAAAAACTATGTCAAGCTTAGCAGTTTTCCAGGATTCTTGTATCGCACATAAAAACATTGCTATGGATATTTTAATACATGGAAACATGTTATAGTTTATAGTTATCATTGTTTGTGCCTAATTATAAAGGAAAATCCTAAGGAGGGCTAAAGAGAGCATGAAATAGGTAGTGAAGCCTAAGAAAAATCAGAGAGAGAGACAGATGAATGCCGGTACAAGAATTGATTTGGAGCCTCTCCAAGGTTGTCAATCCTATTTCCTCCCATCTTGGGACCATTATTTGGGTTCTTTTTGTTTTTTTCTGCTGGTCCCTGGCCCTCAAATAGGCGGACTAACTCTGTGATACAACAGATAAATAATTTGGTAGCAAAACCTACTCAGATACATTATAAGTTAGCTATGGAGGACCATGAGACTCAAGATGAGGTTGTTACTTTATACAGGGTGTTCCCAAAACCCATCTCCACCCAACCTAAATGGGGGGACTTCTGCCCCTAGACCAAGCAGAGAGGGGCCACCCAGAACCCCCTCTGTCAGGCGATCTGAATTCTTGCTTAGGCTGCAAGGCTAAGCACTGCAAGGGAATATAAATAAAAGATAAAAACATCTATCTGGGTTCCATGAGGGACAAGCCTGACTGCATAGGGGTTGATGTCAAAAGTATCCCCTCTCCAGGAAAAAGACATCGGGATGGGTATGGCCCTTATGCCTCACTGGTCAATGACAGGGGGACCAGAGCCATTACAAGGTCTCCTTCAAATACTGGAGGTCAGGCCTCTATCCCCACCTTCGAAAGTTTAGAATTGCCACAGCCCGTCTATACTTAGAGAAGGGAGGAGATGTCAGGGGTAGCCCTGCTTACACACTGTAGGCCTAAAATCAGCCATAGGCCTAAAATCAGCAATAGGCCTGTCATACATGTACACAAACACCAAGTCTTGGGTCTCAGTGGAAAAATATTAAAACAGATGACTATAAGCTAATGTCAACAGGCAGCTTTTGTGGAAATTTACAAGCCTGAGTAGTCATAGACCTTGTAAATAGGTAGCCTTGGCAGATAACACCAACTTAGATAAGGACAAGCGAGTCATAGGCAGAGTCAGAGTGACTTGTCCCCTGAACCTTCACCCAGCTGATACCCGGTTCTGAAGATAGCTGTATTCCCCCTGAACACCCACACTCCAGTGTCATTCCTTTCCCCACATCCTGCCTTTCTGTGTTTATACCCCTGTGTGAATTAATTATGATTTGAGAAAAAAAATTAAAAAAAAATTAAAACAAATAAATAAAAGGAAAAAAATAAAAAAAATAAACATAGCATTAGAGCTGAAGAGGATTGAAATACCTTAAACACATCAAAATAAATGCATTGTATATTTTAATAAATACCTAGTCATGATTTCCAGAAAAAAATATTTAAAAAAAAAAGGAAAATCCTTTGCTAGTACCTATAGCAACACAAATTGGAAACTGCAGCTCTAACTTACCCCATGATGGCAGGCAGTGATCCATCTGGTTTAGTATCATCCAGAGTGATTGAAATTGGAGCCTCTTCATCTTCAATGATCATGCAGCCACAATAGTCTTAAGCAGGAGAAAATTAATTAAGAGATTGTAACCAACATTACACACACACACACACACACACACACACACACACACACATATATATATATGATGGATATAAACTATATTACTAAGGAGGAATGAAAATCTTAAACTATTGTCTTTATTCCACCTCTAGACCCTTTTTTGTTAAAGATACACACAACAATACAAAGATGTCTATTCCTTATGTGGAAAATGGCCCATATCTATCATTTTTTATAAAGGGCTATGACTTATACATAGCAAACTGGTAAGATGAGGAAAATGGTAAAATGGTCTTGCATGCAGGAACACATGGAGAATGAGATGGGACACACTGAAAGGATTCACTTCCATTAACCCTGGAAGTTGTAAAAAGGATTGTATTGAGTATGAGCAGGAAGCATAAACTCCTATATTCTAAATCCTGTTTCATTTAATTTCATAACACCCTGGTAAGCATTTATCACAAAACCTTATCATCATTTTATGTTAAAAGATCAATGCCAATAAGCTGGTGAAGTTCAGGAACAGCTTACTGCAGAGCCCTGGTCTCTGGGCCCCTTGGTCTCATTCTGCTTATGAAGAATAAGTAGCAAGATGAATGACAGTGGCCCTATAATTGATATTCCCACTGCTTGCTTCCATCTTTTCCTCCTATTGTCAGTCATTCTTGAGGCAATTTTGTGAAATTTAGAGACATATTAATAATTTTTCTACCAATTTGAATACATTTATCTTTTTGTATTCAGGATATTCTGGTTAATATCCTTAAAATGTGGTTTCGTACTTCATAGTTTAAACACAAATAAGAGCTACCTACCCTTTTTCTTCCAGAAGGCTTCTTTGTAATACACCATGCACTTGATGACAGCCCCCATTGGAAGACGCTGAATTAACTGATTTCTCTCAGGTGGTAGCTCTGGTTTAAAGTGGATCTTGGCAGTCAAAACTGGTGGGATGGCACTAATTACATATTTGCACTGAAATACAATATGCAAAATATTACTTGAAACATGAGCTATAGCCTTTGCAGAAGGTATGAAGCAACATTTAAAAAAAATTACCAAAATCAAGCTACTGTGAAGCAACAAAATAGAAAAAGGTAGGTGGGCTGGTTAGTTTTGTCAACTTGACACAGCTAGAGTTAGCTGAGAAAGGGGGGCCCACAACTGAGGGGCTCTCTTCATCAGACTGGCCTGTGGCATGTCTCTATAGCATTTTCATAATTAATGATTGATATGGGACCATCCAACCCATTGTGGATGGTGTCACCTTTGTGCAGGTGGTCCTGAGTAGTAAAAGAAAGCAAACTGGGAACAAATCAATTAGCAGAACTCCTGTATAATTCCTGCCTCTGCTCCTGTTTGAATTCTTGCAATGACTTCTCTCAGAGATAGACTGTGCTCAAGATCTGTAAGCCAAATAAACCCTTACTTCCCAAAGTCACTTTTGGTCATTCGTGGTGTTTATCACAGCAACAGAGAAGCAAACTAGGGCAGTAAGTAAACCAAGTCTACCAATTTGGAAGACTTGAAGTAGGTTTATGCTACATTTAATTAAACTACAGATTAGATCACATACAATTAGAAGTTACAAATGGCATAAAACCTATTTACCATAAACTCTTTTGCCTATAATGGATTACCTCATAGTGTTCATGATTCAGTGTTTCCACAATGATGTTGTCATCTGTTTGGTCGATATAAGTAACAGGAGAGCTCAGCTTCACTTTATCTCCAAGGAGGGCCATTATCTGTTCACTTACTTGGCCAGATCCACCTACAAATTTCCGTTCCTATTGGAGAAGGTAGGCATAAAAGAAAAGTTATAAAAGGAGAGTGGTGGAACATTTGCCACCAATTAGTAAATCTCCAAGAATGTCAATGCCAGACCTCTATCCTTTGCATATCCAATTGAGGGAAGAATCATTTCCAGACATATTTTTAGATCATTTTCTACTACCATAAATGATTAGAAACAATGATGGAATTATCAAGAATTGTTCTAGGCAAGTTAGTTTCAGAACAGACAATGTATACCTGGCCGCCATTGGTGACTGAAAATATCCGAGAGGTGCCCCCACACTGCCTCACATACCACAAGAACCACAGGGCAGATACCTCATGAGGCTCAGAAGTCACATTAATGTTCACAAAAAGATAAGCAAATTCCCGAGCAGTTCTGTTCACAGAATAAGAGTGAAAATCACATGTCAATGCATATAGGAAGAAGCAGATAACCAAGTCCTGAAAGTTATCCTCTGACCTCTACACATGACAATACATGTTGGGAAATGTATACACCAGCCACATACACATCAATAACAACATAATTAAAAATGCATACAGAACTCAGAGGAATGCACCTTTACAAAGTTTAAGATAGCACAAGTAGAAAGTGTTTCTACTATTTTGGAAAAACAAAAGAACCAAAATCTCATGGTCTCAGCACCATAGGACAGCATTTGTTAACTTACGAGAAAAAGAAAAGTTTTCTTCTGCTGTTAAGAAATGTGGCTTAGCTCCAAATATGGTCTATCTAAAGACTCAATTTCCTTGATCATTAGGTATACTTCCTACCTAAAGACTTTCCTCACATTCCCATCTCTTCAGACTCTACTCTGATCCACGCTACTGCACAATCTCTTAGAGAGAGAAAGTGATGATCTCCCTGTATTATCACCCTACATCACCTCTAATATCCTCTGCCATGCTAAATACAATGAGTACTTTAACAACACTTCAGTGGTAAGCTGAGCATGGTAATAGGGCCTGGAATTTCAGCATGCAGTAGGCAAAGGAAAGAGGATAGCAAGTTAGAGACCATGCTGGTCTACACAATGAAACCTTGTTTCACAGAATCAAGAACAAACAAAACTAAACTAAACTAAAAACTAAAAAAAAAAAAGTTAAAAAACAACAACATAAAACAAAAATTAAAAATTCTTCAATGGTCTAAATAGAGAAACATCTCAAACCTTGACTGTAGACAGTAGATAAACCACAGGCTGCTTAACCCATGACTTCAAATACCCCTCACACTACTTGCTCTATGCTCCCGCCAAACTGGCCACTTATTTGTTCAAGTGTGCCAATTTTCTTCCCTTCTTAAGCCATTTCCAAAAGCTACTCCTTCTTTTTCTCTGCCTAGAAGATACTATTCCCTTACATCGCTCATAGGTCTGAACCTCTCCCCTTCCATCTTGGTTATACATAGAAGACATAATTCCTTAACATTTCCTTCTGCAGCCCTTCTCTCTAAGTATTTCCTAACATCCCAACTACATCTACATTTTACTCTCTCCTATCCTAACAACATCCCATTCCTGAAAGATGCTGTTCTAGAATAATGCATACATACATCCTCTTTCCTCATGCTTTTTAGGTCATTCTTATAACGTACCATGTTTCTTGAGTCATTCATAGGAAATGACATGTCCATACTTTATCTATTTTTTCACCTTATCCTTCCCTGGGAAGTTAGCATGTAACACTATCTTTTCCTCACTCTCAAATGCTGCTATAGCTTATTACTGGAAGATATTACTTACATTATCTAATGACAAGCCTATCCCAACCTTGGCCTATACCTAGAAGATACCATCTTACCTCTTTGGCCACCCAGAACATGTTCTCCCACCACTTTTATACTCCCTTCCTTCCCCCTCACCACTACTGTACATTCTGTTTGTTGTTGTCTTGGCATATAAGTGTGTAGTGTGCGCGCATATGTATGTTTTGATGTGTGTGAACTCATCTCCATGCAAGGGGCAGAGATCAAACACAAGTATTTTCGTGGATTTCTCTCTACTTCATTTATTGAGGCAGTATCTCTAAATTGAATCTGGAATTTGCTAATGTGGATAGCCTAGCTACCCAGCTTAACAGATGCTGTACCAGGAAATGATTTTTCTATTTTTAGACCAACTAAGATTCCCTTTGTTAGGTACTCTGCTAGCACTATGTAATTACGTGTTTAGTATTCATCTTGCCGGCTAAAAGAATATAGACTACATGAGGGAAGAAGCTAAATACTAACAAATTCACCACTATTCCTCATCCAGTGCCTAACAGTGTTTTCTTATAGTAGGCCTAGAATAAATATATGCCAACAAGTATGTAAATATTATATGTGTCAATTCAAATACAGTAAAAATAAATATAAGCATGTCCCACATAGCATTTTGATCTACAACCGATACATAGATGATAATAGTTCCACGAAAGCATATAGCTTACTAGTCATCTTAGTTCATATAAACTCTGAATATTTATCCATGAAATTGACTGATATTATAATTCTTAGAAACTATCTATATCATTAAGTCATGATTGTAGTAGTAAACTGTAAGTTACCATGCTAATAATAAATCCTAATTAAAATCATTATATGGTTTATATTTTCATTCATTCAGACTAGTTTCATATTTAAAGCTATATGGAAATTGTTTAATAAACCTGTTTTATTTCATTTTTTAATATGGGAAGGGGCCACATTTGTTAGGAGTCCTTGAAGACCAAACAGAGGGTCAGATCCCTTGGTGCTGGAGTTATAGGCATTTATAAGCTCTCCAACATGGGGACTGGAATCTGAACTCATAGCCTCTAGATAAGTACTCTTAACCTCTGAGCCATCTTTCTAGCCTTTGGGATTGATTTTTAAAAAATATGTTTACAAACTGCTTTTGTAGGCAATTTCAACTATTTTTTATTGAAGATCTGACCCTCTGTCCAAAGGTATTCTACTCTATACACATGCTTAAGGTTTTATTCATTTTTTGCTCAAATCTGATATAGCTCATAAGATTATTATAATTTTTAACTTTCCCTATAAGTCATTAAAAACAGCACTACTACTCAAGACAAGGCTACAAAGGATTAGAGGGGAAGATTTTTAAAATAAGATTGTAAGCAGTCAAATATACTTTGTCCAACAGATTTTATCAATGAGATCTTTCATGGTGATCTTGTCCCATTCCTCAGCATGTCTTGCTTGCCATGGTGCATCAACGGGAATCTGCAATGAAACACTCATGAGTGAAAAGAACAGTAACCACTGCTCTACCTCTCTTTTCAGAGAAGCCTTTATGTGAACCTTTAAAAACTTGTTTCTTGGTCTCTGTATTTGGCTTGGAAGTCCATCGAGAGGTGAGATGAATCTGGACTTCATGCCTTAATGCTATTTATTGTCAACAACAGTAGTAACAGTGATCATAATTACAACATGTATAAATTTATTTGTAATTGGTATGGTGATGATCATTATCAATATCAATATTATTATTGGAAGATCACACTCATTTTAGGCCCTCAACTGAAATTTGAGAGAATAATGCTATAGAGCCTGAGAATAAATAAACTCTGAAGCAGAAAGTCCTTCCTTCCTTTACTATTTAAAGTGGTATTGTAGATATGTAACTGTAAGTAGCTATTTGGCAGAAATGTGTCTCATATATATGCTCAGAGGTATAGAGAAGAAGGCACACATGCAGTAATGTAAGCAAGAGTGGTTTTGAATTCTGGTTCCCTTGCTGCATGGTTTTGAGTAAATTATATAAACACTTGGTATTCATTGTCTCCATCTGTGAAGTGGAAATCCCAGCTGTTGCAGAGTTGCTGCATATATTGAAATGGGCATGCATCAGTGCAAACCAGCAATGTCCCCTGTACCTTGCAAGGATCAGTTTCATTCTTCAGCAATATGCTTTGTGCAAACCAAACCCACATTTTACCTCTTTTCCCATTGCATCCATTGTCCTCCACAGGTTGTTGTAATCCAAATATGCCAAGGGGTTCCACACAGGTGGAAATGCACCACGAAACGGGTAAGTTTTCCCCTGAAACATAAAAGGAAGGGGAATCTATTTGAAATGGATAAAACTTAAGTTACAAGGCATTCTAAAACTACAAGAATCAGGCTATGATGCAGGTTTGTAATCCCATAAACTCAGGAAATTGAAGCTGGAAGATTCCAAGTGCAAAGCCAGCCTAAGCAACTTAGTGAGATTCTGTCTTAAAAGTAAAAAGGAAACCTACAGAATCAACTAACTTGGGACCATAGGGGCCCATAGAGACTGAACTGTCAACCAGAAAGCGTACAAGGGGCAGACCTAGGACCCTCTACATATGTAACAGTTGTGCACCTTGATCTTCAGATGGGACTCCTAACAGCAAGAGCAGGAAGAGGAGCAGGAGCGGTCTTAGACTCTGTTGACTGCCTTTGGATTCCTTTCCCCTAACTGGGCTGCCTTGTCTAACCACAATAGGAGAAGTTGCACCTAGTCCTATTGTAACTTGATATGCCAGGGCAGATTGATATCCACTAGAGGCCTCCCATTTTCTGAGGAAGTGACTGGAGATTGTGGGGGAGCGGAAGAGAGGGAGGGACTGGAAGGAGAGGAGTGAGGAGAAGCTTCGATCTGTGATGTAAAGTAATTAATTAATGAATTAATTAAAAAATAAGAAGGGAGAAGAGGGCTGGGGTGTTACTCAATGGTAGAGTGTTTACTTAGCATATACCAGGCCTTGTGTTCCACCCTTAGGACTACAAAAAATAAGTAAAACATTTAAACCAATTAAGATAAACCATTTTCTTTGTGTGTATATGTGTGTATGAGTGAGAGAGTCAGAGACACAGACAGACAGAGACAGAGATAGTGGGGAGGGGAAGGGAGGGATGGAAGGAGGGTATAAATTATGGTATGTGTATCCACAAGTATGTGCAGGCAGACTTGCCTGTGTGGACACATATGGAGGTCAGGTCAACTTTGGCTATCTTCTGTAATGCTCTACACCTTATTTTCTTGAGACAGGGTCTGTTACTAAATTTGGAGATCACTAGTTTGCCTAGACTGGCTCTAGGATCTGTCTGCTTTTGCACCTGTAGCCTGAAATCATATTCACATACTAACAGTGGCTGGCCTTTATAAAAGTGCCGGGGCTCTGTTCTTAGGTCATCATGCTTGCACAGAAAACACTATACCTGCTGAGCCATCCTCCAACTCCAACTAAACCATTTTCAAAGCAACTAGATCTTCCACCATACCAAAAACATCCCCTTGAAGGAAATTAAATATATTTCACCTAAACAGGCCTAATTTTAATAAAAAAAATACTAGAATTTCCCCCAATGTTGTGTTAGCTGTTTTTAGTTTATACGAAATTACAGCTTTTGACTCATTTTTACTTACTTGAACAAATAAGTATATGATGATAAAGCTTATTTAATGTAAATGCAGAAGCCATAACATTCTTATTAAACCTTCCTGGAAAGGTGACCATATGTGAGTGATAGCATGAGTAAATGGAAGACCATCGTTAGACACACACAAGCCAGGTCTCAGATCAAGCTTTAAAGGTTTGCACAGGCTAAATGAACACTGCCGAGACTACTATGTTTAATGTAAAGAATCAGACTTTTAGCAGTGTGAAACAATAGACATTTACCAGTTTAAATTTTCAACATCCATTTGTCTTTTCTAGATGCACCCTGATTTCTGTTTGAGAAATTGCCACCCCTCCTCTGTGTAGTTATTATTATGTAAGGATCACAGTCCCAGATGCCATTAAAATAGGTAGGAAGGGTTAGATTCCTCTTCCCAACTTCCAATCTAGGCCAGCTATGAGTTTGTGATCTGACCTTGGCTAATCATATACTCTTGAAATATTTGACCTCATAGTTCATCATAATCCAAGTACAGAAGAGAATGGAATGTAGATTCTCTTCCCCAAGACAGTACAACAAACAGATGCTTCCTGTTGTAAAAACCATAAATCCTTTCCCTAACTTGTCAGAGTTCTGTTTTGTGTAGATTCTGAAGTGTGAAGTTCCAGCCTTATAAACTCCCTTTATTAGCTCAAGTTGGCTTTTTAGGCTTAGTACTAAAGCTTATAATGTCATGACAGCTTGATATTTAGAAACCATTTATTTCACTTTCTTGTGTGACACATATTATGTTAAGCAAAACAAGGGTAAGTAAAGGGTGGACTCTCAGAAAAACACCTAATGGTTGATTATAAGGTTCTATCTACAAATTTAATTCCTTTAGTGGTTCCTCAGGTTCTTAATCTGCAGATCCAACCAACTGCAGATAGAAAGTATTAAAAAAAAGTTATGCTTAGCATGTAGAAATTTATTTATTGTTATTATTCCTTCAACAAAAGATTATAGCAATTATTTAGATAGCATTTACATATGCCAGATATCATAAGCAATCTATATATTATTTAAAGCACACAGGAGAATATGAATAAAGTATATGAACATAACACTTGACTTTATTTAAGCACTTAAGTATTCCCAGATCTTGGTTTTCATAGGAAGTCCTGAAACCAATCTTCTACAGCTATCAAGGGACAATTATGGTTAAAAATAAATGAATTCTCAATATTCATAAAGCACAAATCTTTTCTGCTAGTATAATTTCTCATGAAAATTTAATTTTTTGATTAATAAATATCTGTAGAAAGTCAACGTCATGCACTGCACAATACTAAAAATTGTGTCAGCCTTTCAAAAAGGTTCAAGAAAAAAATCCTATCAAGGCAGAGGTACAAGGCGTGACAGTATGTGCATAGTCTCCCCACCCTGACAAGTGAATAAGAATGCCTGGCATCCATTAGATGACAAAGAAGTAAATTTCCTTTCCTCTAGTAAATTCAAATAACCTTGGTTGATTATGTGATCTGATTTCTTATCACAAAATGCTATGTTGAAATGCTACAATCCAACTTTTTGAGACTCCAAATCCTTTATCACTGTCATGACCATCATCAAACATTCATTAAGCTTCTCCATGCCTGGTAGTGGCTGGAACTCTTCATGTACGTTATCTCATGTAATGTTCCCATCAGCTCTGTGGAGGCAAGGACTACTAATATTTCCATCCTAGTGACAATAGCTGAGAAATAGTATAATTTCCTCCCCTGAAGCCTTTCTTCATAAAATGTATTTCCTTACTCCTATATGGTTGATGGAATGTGGAGATAGGTTCATTATAGATGCATTTTAATCTTTCACAATAGAATAAAGAGAATTCTCGCATAAGAACCTTACAAATCTCCTCCATGTATCTCTCCTTTTTCTAAAATTAAAAATACAAAAAAGAGAGAAGTACTAGGGGTATGATTGTCAAAGAAGCATGGCTGTCTTTGAGAAAGGCGAACATATTTTCTGAAAGAAATAGAAACATTTTATACAAGACAAAACCAATAGTTCTGGAGAGGAGAGAATCTGGGAAGCCCTTGGAAAAGCTGGTTCTTCTCTAATTTGAAAACTCAAAAGAATCTATACTTCCTCTATAAAATGAATTTATACTCAAAGAATAGTGATATCCAAAAACTGATCTCTTTTTTGAAAAGAAATGTTTTTAAGATAGGGTCTCTCTATATAGCCTTCACTGGCCTAGAACTTGATATGACCAGGCTAGCCTCGAATTAACAGCTAGCTATTCACCTCTCTTGGCTTCCCAAGTGCTGGGATTAATGATGTGGAACACCACCTGGCAAAGAAAAGTACTTTAAAAATATTCTTATCAATCATTAAGTGAAGTATTATATGTGTCATATTCCTAATGAAAATCTCCTTACAAAACACTACCTATTTGAGTGTGCTTATATAAGCTCTTATGGGCACCTCAATCCAGGCCTTCATAAAGACACCAAGACCCAGAAAAGGTCAAAGAACAGGGTGAGAGGAGAATATCCTAACAGTCTCCTTAATAATGAAAGCTATACACAGTCTAAAAGAAGTAAATGTTTAACATGATGACAAAGGCACTAAGTAGGTAAACAATTGGTTAGTTTCATCTTTATCAGTTTCTGGCTTTTCTGTTTCCATTTTCCAGCAAACATAAATCTGCTACAAAAACATACATATGTTGTGAGGAACTGGCAACAATAAGGCAATAAGTTCCTTCTTTCTCACACACACCCAAAGAGGCCTATTTATCAATGGCTACTTCTAGATTACAAAACTGGAGACTACTTTGACATGTGTGAATGTCTAAAATAATACACAGTAAGAGGTTCCTGGGATTGGCTCTTGGGTGAGGAAAACAAGCCTGGGGGTAGACTCCATAGTTTCTCACCAGTTTCTCAATGCAGAACAAATTATCATCAAGAAAACATCTTCATGACCTGAGAATGAGGTAGGGGCTCTAAAATAGTACTCCCAAATGACTATTACTTTTTAAAAATAAAAGGAAATTAAAAAAAAAATCCAGAGTAACAACTGTTCATTTTCTACATATATTCTAAAACCATACTATCTTTCCAAAATAGCCTTAATCTCTGAAGGACTGATATAGCAGAAATTACTTGTTTTCTACATATATTCTAAAACCATACTATCTTTCCAAAATATCCTTAATCTCCGAAGGACTGATATAGCAGAAATTACTTGTGTTGAGTAGAACACAATGTTCCTGGAATCATACTCCCAAATATTCAAGTTCATTTGAGAAATCGCATCTTTTATGTATCAATGTTCATAATAATAGCATGTTATTAAGAGGACATGATAGCTTATGGCTCCCATAAACTGTAAGATGAGCTAAATTTATAAGCAAGTGGCACTTACAGATTGGCACATCAAGAAAGTTTTCTTATTTATACCTCCATACTTTAGTTAACCAAAAGGAAGTGAGGACAATCATAGTATTTTAAGTAACTGGGGAGGCTGCCAAAATAACTTTCTTTAATCGTCTAGAAAACAAATAGCTTTTGGATTGGCCTGGGAACATGCTTTTCCAACCCATATGAATTCCTTGGGACTTACTTGTGTCACTGTTTTGTAACAACACCTATTAGGGAAATTTTCCCTACAGTTCATAATGCA